TATTGCATGCTTTCGAACTGCTGGGTGGGAATCAAGTGACAAGAGCTATTCTATCTCATGGAGCTGGGCTTAAACCGCTGAAATGCAGATCATTTCTGGCTGGCAGTTCCAGCATCATTAAGCTGCTGCACCACCACATCATTTCCTGTTCATAGAAGAACACTATTAGACTTCAGAAGCCAAGTCAAAGTGAGTGCTGCTCTTCAAAGATATGTTTTGTAAGTTAGGGAGGTCATTAGAAACAAATCATAAATAATGGTTACCACGTTCATTTTTATAGTGTTAAATTACATAATTGTTGTTGTTTTTTAAAAGTTATTCGTGTTTTGATTGTAGTATATTTTTTTAATTGTAAGCAGCCTATAGTCATTGACTGAGATGAATGGGTATAGAAAAGGAAAGAAGGAAGGAAGGAAGGAAGGATCCTAAAGAAATTGAACTACAGCAGACCCATCTCTAAAGAGTACTTTAAAAAAGTTTCCAAATACCTTTGACTACGCACATTGTATGTTCTACTATAAGGAAATGGCTTAAAATTAATATTTTAAGGGGCATCATCTGTTTTCATTATTAACAAACAAATGTACAAAACTTCATTTTTATAGTTCTGGTTTGAATCACTATCAGTGGTTTTGTATAATATCTATACTCAGATTGATAGCAGTAACTTTAGGAAGTCACATGACCCACAGCAGATGAATTAGGCAAGGCTTGGGCATGACGGTGGATCATGAGATTAGATTATTTGCATATATCAAGAGGTCAGTTTCCAGAAAAATAAAAATTATCACTGTCCTAAAACAAATATATATAATTTAAGAGATACTCCAAAGGCATAATTAATTAAATTCTCTCAGTGTGAATTGTTTTTCCCCAGGTATCACCTAAGTCATCTTTACACAGCCTCATACCAATAACATTGTTTTCTTAACATTACTGGGTCTTCTTTTTCTTCTAAGAAGAGCTGCAAAACTAGTTCTAGCCAGTCCAGGATACAGAGCTAAATAAATGATAGTCCATATGCAACATACCCTGAATTATTCCAGGGTACTCCAAAATGATCAGTATTGATCCCAAGGGTTAATGGGTCTATCCATGGAGTTAATGGTGTTATTATTTATAGTGCTACTAGTTAAAATACTTGTCAGCCTCAAGATATCTTCCATAATATGTATATTCTGCATCCTAACTATTGCTTCTCTGCTGCTATGCCAATCTATTTCTTTCAGCTGTCATTAGCAACGGAGGGAGGGGGGAACTTGGAGAGGAAGAAAGCTGGAGGTGTTTTGCATTCCTTTGCTGTGGTTAGCAAGGGGAGGGGGATACCTTTCTTTAACTTTCCATTTCTTGGCTAGCTTCTGTCCCCTTTTGCGCAACTGCGAACTTTTATCAAAATATGTCAAAGTCAACTGACAGAAGCCTCATCACCACCTGGAGATGGCCACATGATCATATTCAGAACTTTTAATTGGAAGAGTATTTTGGACGTTGTGGGGTGGGAGCATTTCCATTCCTTTGTATATGTGATCTGCCCGCCAATTTCTCAGATTCGGAATTAAATCTGTAGCTTTCACTTTATTTTCCAGTAAAAGGATAACTTTGCTCTACCCATGGAGTCTGAGTATTTCTTTCTTGGGATTTGAAGGGAGCACAGACTGACAATACTTTTTATTAAATTATTGTCATATAATAAATGTTTGGGGATTAATGAACAATCTTGAATTTCATAAAGGGGATCCATGAACTGAAGAGTTTGTGAACTCCTGGACTATACAAAGACATTGCTTAAAGCAAAAAGAGCCTTTTCAGAAAGTAAGAGAGGATTTATTGACCAGCTGAGCTCTTTCACAACAATTGGGTGAAAAAACCTACACAAAAATCACTCCCATTATTGCTCATCTTTGTGCTATAAACCATTGTTAATAAAACACAGTGATTGAAATAACACACTATGCTAATCTAAAACCAAACAAAGCACATTATGGTTTAGCCATCTTGATTAGCTTTTCTAACAATCTACACTATAACTGAAACCCAGACCAAGGCCTATCTGTCAGGCCTGCCTCCATTCAAAACCCAAGAAGGAAAACCCCCAACTTCATTGAAGTAGAGAAGAGGTACTTTTACTGAGTTTGAAATGATAACAGCAAAAGAAAAGCAAGATCTGAGTCAAAAGGCATGAAAGTTACATATTGAAAGTTTCCCCAAATCCCTCCCCCCCAGGGACCCAGGCTGAATGCCTCTGGCAAAGGTCTCTGGATCTCTGGTATTTTACACAGCATGCTACACTTGCTGTGCCAATAGATGGTGTAGATGGTCCCTTCACCCGATCCACTGATTTATATTTGGGCCCAAGATTAGCAGACCTTCTAGATTGAGTTAAACATTGGATAGATGACTACTTTATCCATGAATTAAGGAGTTTTCTTGCTCCAGGCGACATTGCACTTATGGATGAAGCAACCTGGATTATGTGGTTGCTTCATCTGTGCACATAAACAGATGAAGCAACCACATAATCCAGGGTAATCCTAGACCCACATTTATTCATGGGGGTTCAAATAGCTGTCAGAGATTGAAGTGCTTTGGCTGTTTTGTCAGTGTGGCTTGTTCCTTCACAGGAACAACTTTGCCACAGTTATTTATGCAGTGTTTGCCTCTATGCTGGTTTACTGAAAGGAGTTCTACGTAGAACTGTCTTTGAAGTTGATCTGTAAACTGTAGTTTATGCAAAATGCCACATGTTAATAGCTGGAATGAGAAACAAGCATCCATGGACATTAAGGCTTATTTCTGAAAGCATTACACTATTGTCCACCCCTTTTGGTAGACAAGACCATGAAATCAATTCCATAGGATGCATAAAACTAATTCTATTGAAATTGGCTGTCATAGTAGAATCTTGCTGTATGATTGTGCTGTACCTTCTCCTACTACTTAAAATTTAGTGAACCAGAGAGGTGTCACCACTTCTAAGCATTATCTGGAATTATGGACATAATGTACTTTAAAAATGTTTTAGGGTCTTTTGCTTAGGGAACAACAATTGTATCTGTCAAGAGCATCTGTTTACCCACAGTGCATACAGATCATCAGCTCTCTGGTAAGTTTGCACAAGCTATGAAAACATGGCTCCTGGATAGAACATTTGGAGGCCATTGAGTTTGGATTTGCCTCTAGTTAATGGCACCAGCATTTTGGTGTTAAGGTTTGACTTCACTATTTTTAATTCTCTGTCCTCTGGACATTGCTTGGAACTAGTTGGAATGCCATACAAACCATAATAAATAGTTTTAAATAAATAATCACTATGCTTATACTGGCATATGACCTATGTGGTTTGACACTTGAATATTCAATATTTGCTTAGCAGCTAAGATCAAGTATTCTTGCAAATCACTTGCAAATATATGTTGTGATATAATCCTCGGGAAGTTGTCTTTACAATATGTTTCTAAATTGTAGGATTTATCTGGCTTTCAGCCTAAACGAAAGACCAGCTTGTTTTCCTGGCTTCAGTTTGATCATATGCTCTTTGCAATTAATCTACTTTTGTTAGTAGTGTCATTATGGCCCTGCTATTTAGTTTTCATTGTTGTGGTCGTACTGCCTGCCCAGAATGAGTCAGTGGTTCTCTCTCTCTCCCTCTCTATTTATCTATCTCTATCTCTATTTCTCCTTGGACTACAGGCTCATAGTCCCTTCCCTTAAACATAGCCATCTTATGGGATCTAAGGAGTGTGCCTTTTCTGTGACAGCCTATTTGAAACACCCTTCCTCTTGATGTTTGGCAGGCCTCTATCTTCCTAGCCTTCAATAAAGCAGTGAAGACCTGGCTTTCCCCCCAAGCACTGAGAACACTAGAGGGAGGTGGATGAGAAGATTTAATAAGGATGCTAGAAATTTAACTTCAGTACCAATTTTCAATGTATATAGTTTTAATAGATTCATGTGATATCATTTTTAATGATGTTGTTTTAATTGTTGATTGAAAGCTGTCCAGAGTTCGACATAAGATGGAAAGCTATATAAAAGTTTTAAATAAATACTGAGTGGGTTGTAGCAGAATTAAATCCTAGACCCTTTACTTTTCAATATGTTTATTGATGTCTTGAATATAGAAGGCAATGCTTATAAAACTTGCAAATAGACCCAAATTACATGATATAGCTAATACCATGGAAAACTGAAATAAAATTCAAAATGACTTTGACAGGTTAAAGAATTGGGTTGAAAATAATAAAACGAATTTTAACAGAGACAAAGTTCTCCCAGCTTGGGCATAGTTCTCCTGAAAAATATCTTGGAACAGTATTGATTACAAAATGCATGAGTCAGTAATGTTTCTGCCAAAGAAACAAAGAAATAAAAAAATAAAAAATGCCATTTGTACTACAATACATCAAATCACAGAAAGTAATAGTTTCACTTTGCTCTGCATTGATCACTTCTCAAATTTATGCACAGTTCTGAACACCCCCTTCAGACAAACTGGAAAACATTTAGAAAAAGGCAGCAAAAATGACTAGAGGACTAACTGCCTTGTGAAGAGAGATTGAAGGTGCTGGGAAAGTTTAGCCTTGAGAAGAGAAGACCAAGAGTGATCATTATAATACTTTTAGAAAGAATGTCACATTGGATTAAATGTCAGAAAAGGTATCACTGAATATCAGGCAAAAAATGCTCTTCCTAGCCAAAAGAGAGCAAGTAAGTAGAGGAACTAATTGCATAGGGAAAAGTGGTACATATATCTGCACTGAATATGTTCAGGTGGAGGCCAGATAGCCATCTCTTAGAGCAGTGGTTGCCAACAGGTGGGCCATGGACCACTGGTGGTCCACAAGAAAATTTTGGTGGTCCACAGAGAAATGTCCCCCCAAAGCACCCCCAAGCAATTAATCCAGGCTGCGTGGGAACACAAGGCTGCATCACCCACATGGCCCACCCACCCACTGGCCCCGACCCTTCAATTGAGCACAAATTTTACCTTGAGTAGAGCCATGAAAGCTGGAGCTGGAAGGTAAGACCAATGGGGGGGAGGGACATCCGCCACGGGGTGGCTTGCTGACGTTGGTGGGAAAGTCAGTCCCATATTCCAGAGCTGCAGTAGTCACAGGACTGGTCTTTTGGTCATCTCGGAGCAGTTCTGGGATGACCAACTGCAGTTCAGGAATATGGGACCAGCCCGTGGTGGGGTTGGAAATCTCCGCCGTAGGAAGTGGCACGTGTAATGTGCAAATTTGTGGTGGTGCAACATGCAAAAAACAGCACAGTCCTCACCGGCCAGGACGAGGTAATGCTGCTGTTGTGGCAAGAGGGGGGCATAATTAAACCACCATATCTCTGTTCCGAGCTGAGGGTTGCAGCCAAATTCCCTGCTCGGTCAATGTTCTGGGAAGACGTGGCTCGGGAATAAAGGGCCTTCCCTCTGCGTGAGCAGGCAAGTCGGCAGAGCACTGCCTGAACTGGTGCCTGGAGCTCAAAGGCCCTTTTCCTCCAGCCTTGGGAGGCCACTGCTTCCTACCCTGCCCCCCTTCAGTTAAGCCCAGCCAGGCGCCACATGTTGGGTCTGGTAGTGGATGGGGAAATGTTGTGCCCTCCCCCCATTCCTGTAGGGTCTGCTGGTGAAGCAGCCCTCTTGTGCACCCACCACTGCAGTTGGGTACATAAGGGGAACACACTCCACATGGGGGAAGGAGACACACTCTGCACCCATTGTGCTGAGCCAAAGGGCACTGGTGGGCAGGGGAGCAGCTGCAACCAGCTGGTGAAGTGGTGAAGCTGAAGGGTGGACTGACGCGTGCAGGGAGGGGAGCGTGTGGGAGATGGCAGCATCAGAACCCTCCCTGGCTCTTCCCTGAAGCACCTCGTACCAGCCGAATCCGCTGGCCTGAATGCTGCTACTGCTTCCCATCTTGCTTGGGATGCTTGTGTCAGCACTTTGGACAGGACGGTGGCAGCAGTGGGGGGGTGGGCTAGCAGTGGTTCCCAGAATTCTCCCTGGCTCTTCCCTGAAGTGCCTCGCACCAGCTGAATTCCCTGCCCTGAATGCTGCCACCACCGCTCCCCACCTTGCTTGGGATGTCTCCCAGGGACAGGAATTCGGCCACGCTACCTGCAAAACCACGAAGAGACAAGCAGCCAGAGTCACTCTTGTCTCTCAAGAGCCCGGCTGAAGTTTCCCACACTGCTTCTGTGAGTGCTCCTCAAGAGAGAGAGAGACAGTTTTGCAGATAGCTTGGCCGAACTCCTGTCTCTGGGAGTTAAAGCGGGAAACTTTGGCCGGGCTCCTCAAGCAAAGATGGAATGCTGATGCTGCACAAATGCAAGTAACATGACTCTCCCACACCTTCCAGCCATCTCCATCACTGCTTCGGCCCACTTGTGCTTCTGTTCCCCTCTTGCCGCAACAGCACCATTACCTCATCCTGGCCAGCGAGGACTGTGCTGCTTTTTGCAAGTTGCACCACCCGGAAATTTGCACATTACATGAGCCACCCCCTATGATGGAGATTTCCAACCCCACACAGGCCAGTCCCAATATTTCAGAGCCAGTCCTGTGATTACTGCAGCTCTGGAATATGGGACCAACTTTCCCACCAATGTCAGCAAGCCACCGTCAGTCAAAATCCATATTAGTGGTCCGTGGGATTTAAAATTATAAATCCCATGGACCACTTTGGTCCCTGAGGTCCAAAAAGTTGGCGACCCCTGTCTTAGAGAACATTTAATTTGGATTCCTGTACTAGTTAGTAAATGGGAAGCTATGTAGAAATTCTAGAGTTGTTGGCAGGACTAGGAAGTCAAAAAGCCAAAAAACAAAGGAAAGTAGTGAAAAACCCTTCTGTAATGATACCAAGAAAGCTGTATAAACATAGTAATTAGAAAATAACAAGTCAAGTGTCTCTTATACATACAAACACATACACATAAGTATCCACACAAACCTATCTGAGCAACAAGTTGAATTCAGTGGCCTAAATAGCCTTTTCCAAATGGATTGATTATGTGCTATCACGTTGGTGTTGATTCTTAGCAATCACATACATAGATTTCCTCCAGGATGATGTCTCTCTAAACTAGTCCTTCAGGTCTTCTTGCACCTACTGACACTGAAATCTTTCTGCCCTCTCCTCCTCCTTTCCACTTTTCCCAGCATTGGAACTTTCTCCAGAAAGGTAGGTCTTTTCACATTAAGTGTCCAAAGTAGGATCATTTTCCAATTTTATACTTTTAGTGAAAAACATACTGAAAATGACTAAAAAGTTAAGAAACCAACAAATAAGTAATTAATCCAGTGTTCCTATTTTTAGTTCACATACACTATAGTGTGCACTGGGCAGTTGAGAATAATTTCCATGAACTTGGAATTAAAGACTTTTGCCTTCAGGCCAGATAACAAATTTTTCATATTTACTAGCTTTACTCAGAAAATAATTGTTCGTTTCAAGCAAGACAGCAATAACCCATGCTTTGCTGATATTATATTCTTAATACATGCATAATTCCCTTATATAACCAAATGTTACTATTTCTAAATGAGTATATATAATTCAGGTAGGACATATAACTGACATAACCACAATAACACTTCAAAACATGTGTTCAAACATTAAAAGTCTGTAAGAGGTGAGGTACTCCTGTATCATCATTCCAAATCTTATAATGTATTTTCTATACTCGTCTCCAACTCTCCAGGGTTAAAGCAGAGTTGTCTACACAGATATGAAAACTCATATACATTTCTAGTATGTCTTAAAATATTCTTATACAAATTACAATTAGTAGGATGGCCTCACTATTTCATACAAATAATTGCTTTGTACATGAACATATCATTGAAACATTTTTGAAAACTTCAATCAGTTGTGGTTTATGTACATAGAATCACCTTCCTCTACCAAGTGGAATTACCCATCCACCTTCATAACAACTGAACATATTTTCCTATTTGCATACACAGAACAAAAGGCAAAAACTAGTTTTGTAATCATGAAACAGATAATCATTTAATAGCTAACTTGACATAATCAACCACTTCCTTGGAAATGTCCTAGCTATGTACATTATGTGTTGTTTCCTTCGAAGGTTAGTAAAATAAAATCCATGTTCAAATATTTTTTTTGTTATTAGTAGCTGATTGTTCTTCCCCGGACATGGAGCAGTATTCCTTCCAGGTGCAAGAAAGATAAGACCCTTCTGTTATCTTCAGCAGAAGAAAATGAACCAACGTATTGGTCAAACTCCATTGCCAATAGGATTAGTGGAATCAGCTGACACAGGAAATAAGCACTTTAACACCCAAAGCTCTCTTGCATGGGTTGATTTAGAAAGGAGTTCAGAGGGCCACAATCAGACATTCTTATTTAAGAACAGTATTTATTACTTTTTTTTCCATTCAGTGTGACCAGATTGGCATGTATTTTTTCTGTTGCAGCTCCTGCCCTGTGGAACATCATGCCCCTCCCTGATGTTAGATTGGCCCTGACTATGCTCTGACCTTCTAAAAAGGTTTAACACTTGGATGGGCTCCAGGGCTAGGAGTTGAGAGGTTAAATGGCCAACGGTATATTGTGCCTTTTGAGTATTTACTGAGTTTGATCCCAGCAACCATTATAGGTTTTGTGTTTTTTTGTCATTTTTTTAATTTGTTGTTGTTGTTAGACATCCAGAGTCAAATTTGCAAGATGGGCAGCCATATTTGTTGATTTAATTAGTGAATTAATACTTCATATATAAAGTAGGGGAAGGAAATGTCGAAATATTGTATTGAGTGAAAAGTAAGCAATTCTTTCCCATGTCCACATTTCTTGTATTTGTCCATGCTATTTTCATGATGCCAAATGATATAGTTGGACATGAGTAAAGCCAATCTTATATGCTCTTTCAAAGCATTCACCCTTTGGCCTTTCCAACAAAGGAGAGCTCCCTCTTACATGTCTGATCTACACACAGTGCTTAATGCAACAGGAAGATGTCCCTCTCACCATTTACTAAGGACATGTCCACATAATAGAGCCTCCACCTGGCCCTAGCTGAGACAGCTTAAAGCTCTTTGTGGATATTCTGCCATGAAAGTAGTGTTTTCCCTGGGAAAGAAGATTGTTGTTTTCTTCTAAAAATGACATGTTTCCATAACATTTCCTGCTTAAGTACATGTGCAGGGTCATTTTTACAGAAGCTGTTTATTGCCTATTTCAGGGGTCGTCACGGAGGCGTCACGTGACATATCAGGACTCTTTTCCCCTTCGCTAAACTGGGCATGGGTGTGACCACCACGTGATGCACTGGCCCTGCCCTATTGTGTTCAATTTGAGTATATCAGTTTTCCCCTTTATGTTCATATATGGGGCCATTTTTTAGAAGCTGTTTGCTCCCTATTGTGTTTTATTTTCATGTAGTCTTCTTCTTTAAGTTGGGATTTCTCACATTTTTCATTGAGTTTCAGAGTGGCTAGACCCTTTATTTTTCTTTTAGTAATTCAAGTAGTTTACATTTGATACATAGTTTCAATGGGCATAAGCTGAAATATATGGCATACTTTGCAAGTCACTACAGTGTCAGTATCTACTTTCATGACTTTTTGTTTGTTTCTTAAAAAATTAAAAATTTCTAAAAATTAAATCTTTTCCTTGTTGTGAAGTGTCAGTTTACAATAGTTTACAAGAGTTCTTGGCCTTTTTCTCCTCTATCTTGAAAAATGCATCACTATCTTCCCTGTTTTGAAGGGTCTGTCTCTTTTTCCACAGTTTATTTTTTTTCTCTTAGATCATTAAGAATTTTATTAATTCTGAAGAGTTAAAATAAATAAACTGTTTTTAATTTTTTAATTGAAAAAAGAAATTGAAAATTGAAAAAATTAAAAGAGAAATCTAAAATTGAAAAAAAATAAAATTTTAAAAAAATTTAAAATTTGAAAAAATATTTTTTTAAAGAAAGAAATTTAGAGATTTTTAAAAATTAAGAATTTACAAAAATTCTTGGCCCTTTATGAAGTACTATGCACTCTAACTCTGCCAC